TCCACATTTGCATAAAACACATATTTCATTACATAGAAACATGAATTACATCAGAAGGTCCCACAAGTACAAGGATTGCTATATGTACAAAACCTACATATAAAATTTCCAAAACAAATCMTGTACTACTACATGTAATATAACATGTATCTTCCAAAAGCAGGAAACAGATTAGGAAAATAATCACATTTTCCCTTTCCCTTTAATATCCCCGGACCCAGCTATTCCTGCATTGCATAATTTAAAACAGAAAATGAGGATTAGACCATACGGGTCTAGTGAGTAAATCCCCTATTTGCAAATGCAGGGTGACAACCACCAAAATATGATAATGTTATCTTGGTTTAGAAATATACTGCAATATAACCAATGATGCAGTTCCCAATATCATACATAAAGAAGTATACCCAAAAATCTCACTTCTTTAAAATATCTCTAAACAGAGACCCAACATTCCCAGTATCAAAACTTTTTGAATTAAAATACCATTCCTTTAAAAGGAAAGATTTAAGGCAAAACTTGCCTAATATGTCAAACCATTTTCCCCATCTCAATAACATCTAAATTATCACTTCTAAATAGGAATAATATCTTTAATTCATCAGGTCACAAAGAAATGATGATTCAAAGTTATTAAATCCAATTTAGTAATAATAATAAGAGTTATATTAATAACATCCACATATGACAATGCCACCCTTATTCCAAGTACACCTCTCCTTRATATGHCAHCCTTATTCCTCCATTAAATCAGAGCTACTTATCAGAACAGACATAAGTCACCACGTCTGAAAGTACTCATCCCCAGTTCCAAGCCAGAACARACATAAGTCACCACGTCTGGGGGAACTACCTTTTAAAACTCACTTCCATACCAAAACAGACTTACGTCACCACGCTTGGTAAGAAGGTTTCAAAATATAATTTCGTACCAAAACAGACTTATGCCACCCTTATTCCTTCAACATCTCTTCCACCTCATGCATGTAAAACCCACATGCATTCATGCATACACATATGCATTTAAACTTGCATGCATAAATATATATATATATATAT